TGGTACCTGATATTAAGTTCTTTTTTTTTTTTTTTTTTACAATCGTGCTGTTTGCTAATATCACCATTAACTTATACCGCTGCAGAGTATGTAGCCTGAAAAACAGAAATCTGTAGAAAACCCTGATATGGACTAGAATTATGTTTAGTTGTATAAAATAATTAAACGACAACTAACTAACTGTTTGACTTCTAAAGCCACTTTTATTCAAAGTTTTACTCATCTGACTTAATATTATACACATGCCTGCATACTGTGTAACAGAACCAGAATAAATAAAAATAAATAATTGCAGCCATTAATATAATTTATTTTCAGTTTACACACTCCCACTCTGGTTGGCAAAGGATATAAGTGCATTAAATGATCATGATCAATAAAAAAAAGCAAAAGCACTTCCATTTTTCACTTGCTTCTTGTCCTCAAGCTCCAAAACAGAAGACTGTTTCAAATGAACTGACTGAACCAACTCTTAGATGTAGGTCATGTAGAGTTGTGAGGCCTGTTGACAAGATATGAAACTATAGGTGACTTCAACTCAGAGTATGGCAGTACAGTGGTCGTTTTAGGAAGTGACTGGGCTCTGATCTTCAGGCCTGACCTCCGTGCAGATGATGGATGGGTAAGAGCCAACACTGATAGCTGCATATCCATCAAACAAAGGCTCCCTTGATGAATGAATATGTCCTCTATCAAACGTGCATCACCTCATGAGCTGTCATTTGCTGTGAAATGCGTTCTTCCTTTAGCATGAGATTAATGAACTCAGGAAATGATTTAGTCAGCAGCCCACAGAAGGTCAAAAGGAGGTGAGGGTAGGTAAGTTTGGGAGCTGAAAGCTAACCGTAACTTGATCAGGAAGAGTGATCACTGTCAGGGTATCACACTGTCAGAGTGAGATTTTACATTCGGACATATTGCTTATGTTCTGAAGTCACTCAACTGAAAACGAAAGAAAAAAAATACTACTGGTGGTAAGTGGGGGAGGGCATGTGGGCTGTTGCTAGGCAGGTGTGTCATGCACCTATTTTTGTAGTTCACTAGCTGCAGTCAAGGCTCACTTCTTTTTCTCATTTAGCGTTAACAGATTATTTTACATCTGAATTTCCCAGCCAGTTACCAATAAGAATTTCCATTTTATGCCATTGAAAAGATTTAAAATAAAAATTCTGTCATTATTTACTTGTCATTATACACTACACTTTTTTTTTGTAAAAAAAGTAAATAAAGATTATTAGAGTACATTTTACAAGAAAATACAGTTTGAGTCTTTACTTCAAAATTTCACTTTTAATTCAGTGTTGTACCTTTTTTGTTTTGTTTTGTTTTGTTTTGACACCAAATGTTTGTTTGTTTGTTTTTTCAATGTACTATTTAAAAGTTTGGGGTTGTCAAGATTTTTAATGTCTGCTTGTATTTGATCAAAAAGTAAAAACAGTAATATTGTTCAAATTTGTTTATTTATTCCTGTGATGTCAAAGCTGAATTTTCAGCAGCCATTACTTCAGTCTCCAATGTCACATGATCCTTCAGAAATCATTCGAATATGCTGATTTGGTCCTCAAGAAACTTTTTTTTTTTTAAACTGCATCTTACCAACCCCAATCTTTTGCGTAACATTTTCACATCAGTTTCTGCTCTGCTCTGCTCTTTAGAAATCCTGATGGTTCCTTATAGGAATACATTTTAAAAAGTGAAGGATCTGAGGAACGCCTATACATTTCAACCTAAAGTACACAAAATCTAAAGTCCTGTCGTTTAGTCAAAGGTCCTACCTCTCGAGACCAGGCAAAGAGAGACTTTGGCATTTTGATAAAAACCTCTTTGAGCACAGAAGAGAAGTCTTGAGGGTGGCCAGACGATGACAGAATTTTCACTTTAAAGCAAATGATCTACAGAAGGTGCAACTCGACTGGACTGTCACACCTTCCTTTCTCAGTGTGAATGGACAGGATGCTACTGTTGCTAGGATACAGACCTGGACAGTATATTAAGGTATATCAAAAAAAAAAAAAAACGTCAGCAATGCTGTTTATTTGTTATGCATTTGAAACATCAAGGGGTCTGGGAAGAGGAAATGATGAGCTACTAGAGATTAAAGGCTAGAGGTTTCAGGAACACAATCATTATGTCTGAACTGTGATCGGATTGGGATAGATGTTTAGAGGTGACAGGAAACAAATTGATTTTTGTTTCAAGGAGGAGAATAAAGTCCCGCTATCTCTGTGTATATGGCATAAGTCAATAGTTCCTAAGTTTCTTCCATTTAAACCTTGTTTCTGTTGCATTATGTGCACCTGTAGAAATAAAACTGAGGATGCTTATTTCTTTGATTTTATACTAAGAAATGCATTTCCTCTGAGACTCTATCAGATACAGCTTTCATATTACCAGTTACAGGTTTATGTTTATAGCCCTTGGGGAGACTGCCTGGGGACCCAGCAGTTTCTCTCCAGCCGTGTCTGGCAATACTAATGTCTGTTTTTTCTTTCATGAAAACAATCCTGGAATGAAAATGGTCTGTCTGCGGAGCCTCTCTCTTTTACCTTTGTGAATAGCCTTCTTATTCCTACACACACAGGGTGGAGTGGGAAAATAAGAGGTTGATTTCAGCTCAAGGTGGCAAACAGAATCAAAGGCCTTTGTGGTGTAGTGGCCAAAAGCTCATGGCTGGTAACTGGGCATTTACTGGTTCGAGCCCTGAACTGAATAAGCAATGAACTTGTGCCCTTGAGCAAGCTTCTCCAGGTATCGTCTTCTGCTCGCTTTTGCCATAATTCCGAATTTTTAGTACTTTAAAAGAATAGTTCACCCAAAAATGAAAATTTGCTGAAAATGTATACTCACCTTCAGGCCATCCAAGATGTAGATGAGTTTGGAGAAATTTAACATTATATGACTTGCTCAGTAATCCTTTGCAGTGAATGGGTGCCGTCAGAATGAGAGTCCAAACAGCTGATAAAAACATCACAATAATTCACAAGTAATCTACATGATAAACATCTCAATTAACACCTTGTGAGGTGAAAAGAAACAAGTCTTTTGAAAAGAAAGGTGAAAAGAAAAAAAATATGATTTCATAATAACACTTCCTCCAGTGAAATAGACAATTCCCTGTTGTCCTCTAACATCAAAATCCACAGACATATTTGATTAGAACGGTTTTGCACTTTTCTCGCTTGTAAACGGTGCTTGATCTGTGCATATTTCTCTCCTGATTCAGACAACTTCTTCACTGGGAAAAGTAAAATAATGGATAGAGGACTTTTTTTTGGAAGGTTTGAAGTTAAAAACATCTTAATAATGAATTTATTACAGTCATGCAGCTTTTCACTTCACAATACGTTAACTAATGGACTGGAGTTGTGTGGATTATTGTGTTGTTTTTATCAGCTGTTTGGACTCTCATTCTGATGGCACCCATTCACTGCAGATGATCCATTGGTGAGCAAGTGATGTAATACTAAATTTCCCCAAATTTGTTCTGATGAAGAAACAGTCACATTTTTATTTTTGGGTAAAATATTCCTCAAATCAAATCTTTAATTCTCAAAATAAAGGACAAGCACCTCAAGAATAAAGAGTCAACAACCGTGCAGTCATATGCTGATGCTATTGAATTACTTTCTTATAGGCAATCACAGATATTATGTACACATATCAATATTGTGGAGAAATAAACTTTACATTCTGAATAAAGCATTTACAGGATCCATACACACTCAAAATATTCACTGGCATTTTTTATTTTTTTTTCTTCTCCTTTCTCTTTTTCTTTAGGTCCAAATCCAGGGAATACAGAAGCAAATATGTTATGTGTTTCATATTCAGCCTCAGATGACACACAGAATCTAAAGTCCTGATCTGAAAAATAAAAAAAGTGCACAATACGCACTCTTCAATATATACTGTTCAAAAACTCAGATCTGCGGGCACAAAATAGCCAATGTAAACATGTATGCTCTGAGAGATGTGCTCACACACAGTAGACAAAGGGTGAGCTACTCTGATGCAGAAAAGTGCTTTTCTTGTCATACTGTTTGCCACAGCATTGGCTTCAAGAGGGATTTCAAAGGATTAGGCAACACAGAGCTGTCAACAAAAGAGTACAAAAGAGGGACTATGAAGACAGAATAAAGAGAGAGTTGAGCTCTGCATGTCAACATACAGAAAAGAGGAACTGGGTTATATTTGCAAGAGAAAGATTACTGACTTACTGGATGCAAATAAGTTACTGGTGTCCATTTATTTTGGGTTTGAAAAAGATTTATTCATAACCAAAGGGGCAGCGTTTGGCTGGTTAGTGTGACCCATTTAATCCCTTACGGTAGATGCTGTAACTACACCATCTGGGGAAAAAAAAAATCATATTATTGTTGATCAGGGGTCCCTATTTTCTTTCTTTCTTTCATTACAATTGTACTTTAAAATAAAAATGAATACTTGATAATTATAATAAAACTGCACTGTGTGATTCACTCCAAAATACATGGCGCAGCAGACTACAGTTTGATAATTTAATTAAATTGCAGAATTTGATTTGATAATCATGCAAGATATATCGCAATTATTGTGCAGCCTAATTTATTTATTTTCATTTTACATTCAATAGAATTATTTGCATTTCATCAACTCATAAACACAGTTGACTATGTATGTCAACTGTAAGACAAGTATGTCTTCAAACAAGCTTATATTTGTCCTTATGCACATTCTTGTGGTGCCATCAGCCAGTCAGCATTGTCATACCATTTACAGCTCAAGTGACTGGCTTAAAATAACTTGACACTGTCAAAAAATTTAAAAAAACATTCCAGCAGGTCCTACACCAACCGATCAACTGCTATTTGGATGGATGAGAATACTAACAAACAGCTTTCTCCAGGTATTATAGACCTCCTTGACCCGCACCAACTGAATATCCAATGTTTCATCTGAGCTTTGAAAGAGGAAGTAAAATAAAGTAAAATCTCTTTTTTTATATTTTCAGTGATTACCCAGGGGCAAAATACAAGGTCAGAGAGGTCTATGAGTACTCAGAGACAGAATGACTACATAGTCAAGTATATAGGAACAGTTCGGTGCATGACTGTGTTTTACCATCCTCTGTGTAATTGAGTGTCAACAGTTTTATGCATGATGTTTATTTCTTTAAGCATCAAAATTGCATCGGAATGCCAATGATTTATTTACTCAACACAATGTTGCAATAACCAAGACATTTAGACGTGAGAAGAACTATTTATCTCCTGGGGTCAAATGACTTCAACCAAAGCCAGAAAGCATGGCTGAAAAGACTTCATAAATGCAGCAACATTGTACTCCATGCTCTTAGCAACTTCCTTCCTCTATAATTCAGCAGCCACCTCCACCTCCACTTTTAGATTGCCTGATTGATTGTTTTTTTCTTTAAATGACCCTAACGGGTCAAGCAGTAATGGACTGGCCTCCTACACAGTGTTGGAGAGTAATCTCTGACTGACCACCTGTCTGTTTTACTTCGCCAAGCGCTTTTGGTGTTTCATAATCTCATCTCTCATGGCGCCAGTTCCTCTCAAACATCAGGGGCAACTGGACCAACATTTAATTTTCAAGCCACAAACCAAATCTGATGGGAAACACTGTGTTAATGCAGTCATTATTGGCACCATATCAGGCAAAGGCGACTTGGGAATTGACCGCCCTTAACTACACATTAGATTCCCTGCACTTACGCAGACTTTTATCAATACCCTGTTTTCAAGAAGTTCAGAACTCTTAACATTTCAGACAGAATCTTTGATATGCTGACTAAATCTTTGATATTTAAAAATAAGTACCATTTTGTGTTCAGAAATCGCTCTAACCGACGAAGGGTCATTGAGAACTTGAGACAAGCACTTTGAAAAGAAGAACAAAAGAAGATAATACCTAATTAACAAGATTATCTGCTTCAGGCTATTGACAGTTGTGCCTTTGGATGCTCAAGGTTCCTCATAAATATACATTTAAATATGTGTGTCAAGATCAAGATGTGTCTTGTGACATTGGAGATGGTAAGATCATCAAGACGGTTCACAGCGCCCATTATATCTGTAGCAGGATCAGAAGAAACGGTTTAATTAGTATTTATGCATGCAAATAAATGCTTTGTTTATCAATCCCATAAAAAAAAACTCAAGAGGGTAATACATTTATCCAGTGGACACTTCAAATAATTATTTTGCATTCAGATAGCCAGTTAAACCATTTGAAAAAAACGTATAAGATAATAGAGTTCTAGTTGTTGTAGAATATAAAAAGGATCATAAGATATATGGGAAAACTCTCAAAAGTATTGGCATGCCTAGATGCATTTAAACTGTTGTGTGGGAGTACTGTTAATTATATAGGAAGTGTAACGGTGCAGGAATTGACTGGCCTGTTAGTTTCTCCAACAGCACTGAGCTGACCAGAAATTGGAACAATAAAAAAAACTCTAGGAAATTGGCAAATGAGACAAAGGGTTAGAAAAGAGTATCTAAATTTGCATTTAATAATTTAGCAAGGCTTTATTCTAAAGCAATGAGGATGATCATATTTGGGGGTCCGTGGCATCTAAGATATTAAAGCCCCAAGCATAATGTATGTGAAAGCCAACGAAACGTCTGGCATATTGAGTTGCATTAGAACTTGTGAGTTTAACTTTAATTAGACAGAAGGCATTGTTTCAAAGCAACAAACAGCATGTTTAAATAAAAGCTGTGTGAATGATGTTGGATTTATACACATAATACTGTAAGCCAATCAATAAAGAATGCAAGTAAAAAGAGGATTATATCAAAATAAGCTTATTTCCAAGCACTGGTTGAATGCTGGATCTTTAAGCCTTGCCATAATTAAATGAGATAGCTTTTGTTTGTTGATATCACGTATTACAACGTGCATTCATTTTCACTTTTTTGCGAGTTGGACCTTTAGTAATAGTGTATAGTTTCTGCACACCTTCATCGTGTTGTGAATTATTAATGTGTATTAACTTTGTGTCGCTAAGGCCACACCAGAGGGATGTTTTCTTAAAAAGACTGATCATTTTTATTTTTATAGAGGTGATGATGGAATCCAGGCTATTTTAGTCTAAATAATTAAATAAATATGTGCCAAGTCTGTATACGACGTCTCCCGCTATGGTCTAATTATAGATTTCTGATGCTTTGTTTACAAGACTTTTGACATGGCTTTAAAAGTGTTCATTTTTAAAGCCAGGGAAAAAAAAAAAAAACTTTTTGGAGTCAAGGGGACCAAACAGTTTTAGAGTTTAATCTCACAAGTTGAAAGCTCTAAGCCTCATGTTTTGTATAATTATTTTTTTCAGGGTTATGAAAAACATATATTAGAGCAAATCTTCTATAAATCTGTACTTGAGGCCGCCTGTGTACATAATTGGGACACGTCACTTTCTGGCGCCGCTTTGCTGTCATACATTTAAATTAATATTGAAGAGAAGAAAATGTATTATTCAAAGCCTCAAGTGTTCTCTGGGATGTAAATGTGGTTTGGTGCAGAAAAACACAATATATTCAGATTCCTGACATTAATCTATGGCTTTAATCTGAGTTTTATCTCTCTCTCTGTTATTAATTCAGTAAATGAATCCATTTTTTTTGCATCCATGGTACTCAGACGCACAAGTTGAGAGGTGTATGTGGTTTATATCCAATTAATGAGTTGTTATCTTTGATGTCATCATTTACCAGTAACTTTTCAGCTCCAAAACATTTGGTGAAAAACAAAAGATGTTTGAACCAGAGGGGGAATATTCTCTGTTGCTTGATTTCAGTTTAACAATCTCTGATTAATTTATCAGGGAAGTCTGTTAAGGAATCATACAATATAAATTAACAACTTGATATAGGTTAGAAAACACAAAAACCCCAGGGAGAATGTTCCACGTTCTCCTAAACTTTTTAAGTGTTCCCTGCAGGCACATGATAAATTGATTGCGCTGTTTGACTTACGTTGGCACACGGAGGCATAAAACTGTAGCAGTTGCATCATCCAACCATAAACAATAACATTAAAGATTACTTTTCCTTTTTGGATTATTAATCATGCTGTAAGCAACACTGTCAAAACAGATATGGCTCTTTCATAAGCGTGTTTCTCAACAGGATGCGGTTCTGCCGCAAAGTCTGCCAACAAAGCTCAAAGAGAGTTCAGCGGTAATCATACTATCTGAAGAAAAATGTCAGGCCTGACATTATCTCAAGCATAACAGCCCAGAGACTCCCTGAATTAAACAGCATTTTAAAACCAAGACAAGCACTCGGGTCATGGCAGACATCCGGATGACCTTCAAAACAGGCAGAAGGAAATTAAGCCCACTGCTCGTCTCTGCCTGGACTACAGCCGCCACTGGAGCGCTTTGCCATGTTTGGGTTTGTGAACTGATTCATTATGCGAGATCTCAAAGGCCGATGCATGTAAATGAGGAGTATGAGCAGATATTATTGTGCTTCTCTTTTGTTGTTATGGAGGTAAAGCTTCTCGAACAGACTGGTGCTAAATGTTAGCTGTATATCATGCTGTGGAACCCTGTACAGAGCTCTCCAGTTATTAAAAGATACATGGAAATACATTTGGAACAGGAGCTAATCATACAACAAGCAACTTGAACTGTGCAAACAACACACTCTCATCACTCAATCTTTATCTGTGCATTCCAAAGCTTTTGTGCCAACTCATTTTGGAGGATTTGTTCACCCCCAAATTAAAATTATGCCAACATGTATCCACTCTTATATTGTTCAAAACACATGATTTGTAGTCTTCTCTGGAATATGAGAGTAGAACTACATTCAATTTTTTTTCTCTCTGTTATGCTCACCAAGCCTGCATTTATTTAATCAAACAATACAGTAATATTGCAAAATAGTATTACAATTTAAAATACCTGTTTTCTATTTGAATATATTTTAAAATTAAATTTATTCCTGTGATGTAAAGCTGAATTTTCAGTGTCACATGATCCTTTAGAAATCATTGTATTATGCTGATTTGGTGCTCAATAAACATTTCTTATTATTATCAATGTTCATAATTTATTTTTTCAGGATTCTTAGATTAATAGAAGTTCACAATTAAGTTAATTAATTAAGTTCAAAAGAAAATAATTTATATGAAAAAGAAATATTTTGTAAAATTACAAATCTCTTTACTGTCACTTCAGAACAATTTAATGCATTCATGCTGAATAAAATAAATCATTTCTTTCAAAAACAATCAATCAATTTAGCACTCTTACTGACTCCAAAAGTTGAATGGTCATGTAAATTGTATATACGTTATAAAATTGTATAAAATTTTCTATACGTAAAAGTGACACCA